TTCAAATCTGATATAATTTTCTTATGGATAGTATAAATAAATTACTTCAAAAATATTACGTTTTGAGAAAAGAACTTAATATTGTCATAAAATGATTTAGGATAAATTCTGATAAAAATGTTTAAATATATTTTGAGAAACATAACTACTGTTATTAAACAATTAACTCTAAAAGGAGATAACAAGCCTCTCTTTGATTGCTGATTATCCTACTTTATTACATCTGTGCAAGACAGTTGAAAATGATGCTTTGAATACACACATGAGGTATTCATTGTTTATCATAGTCCATTGTATTAAGCATTTTAACATTAACATCTTTAAAACATGTTGACAAAACAGAGAAAATAAACCTTTTACTTAGCATGTTTCTATAATAAATTAATCACTTATAACAGTGCTTCATAACACTGAAATCCTTTAATACAATCCCTCATGTTGTGGTGACCCCCAACCATAAAATTATTTTATTGCTACTCCATAATTGCAAATCTGATACTGTTATGAATCATTTTGTAGCTGTCTGTGTTTTCCAATTGACCTGCAAAAGGGTCATCCAACTCTCAAAAGGATCATAACCCACAGGTTCAGAACCACACTGACTTATAAGCCAAGGAAACTTCTTTGTATTTATTAATATTTTAATATGAAATGATTCATCTCCAGATAAAATATTAGATAGGCTAATTTTAAATTAGCCTTAGATATACTCTCTGATAGTATGATTGGTTGAACTCTGTTACTACAGATGTAATTAGTTATGATGAGGTCATACTGGGAAGGGCGGGCTTCCCACACAGCAGTACTGGTATTCCTAAAAGATGAGTGACAGTGTGCCACACTCATTCCCTGGGGAAAATGATATGAGGGAATATGAGAACAAGTCAGCCATTTGGTAACAGAGGCAGAAATTGGAAAGATGACCTCTACAAGTCAAGGCACACCAAGGATGGGTTACTGTCACCAGAAGCCAGGCAAGAGGCATGAGGCACGGCATAGATTCTCTCTCAGGGCCTTGGGGTCTCTGACAATAACAGCTTTGAAGAACATAAATTTATATTTTTAAAGCCACCAAATTATGGTAGTTGTATCTCTATCTCTACAAATTTAATATGGATGGATGGATGGATGGATGGATGGATGGATGGATGGATGGATGTTTGGATGGTCAGAGATGAATCATACATGGAGAGAGGAGACTAGGTACTTAGGAAGATAGATACATGTTACATAGTTTTAGGCAGATTAAGCTCAAGGCCTCCAAAGTTTTTATACCTAATCATAAAATAAGAGTATACCCAATCATAAAATGAGAGTATTAGGAAATATTCAGTGAGATTATACTGGTTCCATAGCTGTCAACCAAGTCACACTAAACCATAGGTCAGAAATGGTTTTAATTGAGGCAATTTTATGTGGTCTGACATAAAAGGTCACATAAATAAGTCAACCTTTCTGACCACAGCAATCTTTTTGGCCTCAGGTGCAAATCCTGTGCTGAATGCTCTTCTAAGAAAATATTTCCTCTGCATTAGTTTGCCTCTGTAAATAGATGCATAGCTTCCATTCATTTCCCTTAAAGAGGACTTTCCATCTCCGTGACCCATATGGAATTAAACACTGGAGGCGATTTGCTCTTTGTGGCTTTGCCTGCTATTTCTCTCATTTGCACAGCTCCAAGCATAGTTCATCCTAAAAGACAAAGCTAGGGGTCCCATCTAATTCACATTCAGAGCCAAGGTCCCTCCAGGGTTTTTCTCTCGTTCCATTTGGCACAGCAGTAACTGTGTTTGACAACATCAGCCTCACAGCTCCACTGGACACGGACACGTGGGTCCTATCCACATGGTCTTCCTGGGCTTTCAGGAAGATCTGCCTACCTCTTCCCTCTGACAAGATCTCAGTCAGTGTGGAGTGCAGTCTAGCCTAGAACTTGCAACCACCCTTCCTCTGTACATCAAGTTTCAGAGTGCACCACCATGTTCAGCTTTACACAAACCATTTCTGAATGGTTGTTTCTTAGAATGCTGTCCTCAGCTATGTAATAAAGAAAAAGGGAATAACTTGCCAATTTACTAATGCTTTAGCCAATAAGAAAACACATAGCTGTCAAGTCCAAATGTGACATCTAAGACTAGTACTAAAACAACCTATTTTCTTAAAAATTTAGATCTTTAATAGAAAATTATATTTCAAAAAATTCAAATAATACTTAGTTCAGAAAAATTTTGATTAAGGAATTGATATAGCAAAACTTACAAACATAAATTTAAACATTTTATATTTTGAGGATTGACTTAAGAAATTAGGAAACTTGATACTCAGAGACCAGGAGCCTGGATTGCTGCCTGATTTGGCTGGGACTTGGAGACCTATCTGTAGTACTCAGAACTGGTCCCTGATGACGCCCTTGGAGACCCTCTCCATCATTCACTACCAAATTTCACAGTCTGACTTGGATTCTTTCTCCTGCTCTCAAAGCCTCTTTCAGCTAAAACATCTGGAGATGAGAAGTGTGGTCTTACTAGCTTTGGAATTTATGCTTCTGAGAGGTCTCCTATAGAAAGTGGCAAACACTCTTGAGACTCTGGATTTGCAGGTGTGTAGGATGAAGGACTCCCAGCTCAATGCCCTGCTATCTGCACTCAGACAATGCTCTCAGCTCACCCAGATCAAATTCTACAACAATGACATCTCCATGCCCATCCTGACTTTTTCCAGTACACAGACAACTGGAGCAAGATGAATGTGGAACAATACCCTGTTCCTTTGGAGTGCTATGATGAGTTGGCTCATGCCTCTGTAGAAAGATTTGTCTGGAGTTCATGGATACACTCAGGGCAGTAAGGCAGTCCAAGAACATCTCCTTTGCTAAAGATATCTGCCTTACATGTGGTGAGCGCTGTGTCTATGACCAGGTGTCCAGACTTTGCCATTGCCGGCAGTAAATTAGAAAATATGACTTCTGGATTTGAATAACCAACAGGCTTGGGACAAATGTCTCATCAGGGGTCCTCAGTGTCTGTGGCTTCTAACACACATCAGATGATTGGAAACAAAATAATGTACAGAGACTGGGACCCTGGAGGCTGAGCTTGACATGGGGAACTGTTGGATGGATTGTGGGAACAGAGGCCTTGTGGAGTCAGAAGCACAGTTTGACATTGATACATGGCTTCTGCCCGGACAGACTAACTAGATGCTTTGTTGTGAATTTATAAACCTGGATGTTCTCTCTCTCTGGGGTCTTTGGCTGTTACCAACCTCACCACCAGGTTCATGGTCAGGAAGTTTCAATGGGTCCAGGAATAGAAAGACACTGTTATTTCATGAGTGAAGCAAAGGCCCTGGTGAAATTGGCATGTGTGAAATGAAAGTTTTCTTGACACTTCTTTCCCTTGTCCTTTGCCTGGGCTACATTTACAACCCTCTTGTGTGGCTGATCAGTTATGTGCACAAAACATTTAAACTAAAGTGAGCAACATAGACACAATTCCTATGAAGGAGAATTAAATGGATCACAGACAATTAACATCCAGTACATTCAGACCACAAGGCACCTTGGACTACCAGAGATACCTAAAAGGAAGTGGACAACATAGGGCAAAGTAAGCAGGCTTTCCAGTCTGGCTTTGAACTCTTGATCTTTTTGTCATGCCTCAATGTGATGACTACCAGGAATCTCTATATCCAGCCTTTATGCCACATGTCTCTAGAGCCTTACTTCTATGGACTCCCAGATTCTGTGAAGTACCCATACTGTCCAACAATAAGCAGGTGACTGTACTATATAAAGCATTTACTTTACAAAAGTAAATGTCTTCGGTTGTAAAAAAAAAAGAAAGAAAGAAAAAATCTTCTGCCTATTCATTACACACTCTTTCTGTATAATACACTATCAATAAAATAATTTATTGTTACTCTGTTAAAAAAAAAGAAATTAGAAAACTCGTGTGAAATTTATGGGTACTAATTGCCACTTAAATTGCTATCTACTCTGATTAAACTGTGAGGCTTCCCCCCCTCTTTTTTACTACAGCTTAGAATCCTAACAGGTTGTTTAAAAATGTCATTTTGTTTCTGCTTGGCTAAAATTCAGTGCTATTAAGGTCATCATTCCAGGAAACTGCAAGATTTCCCTTTGCTAGACAATACATAAAGAGCTGGTGACAATAAACTGCCCTTAGGGGATAGAAGCCTCATTTAGCCTTCGAAAGGTTGTCATCTGACCTTGAAATATCTAACACATATCTGACACAAATCTCTTTGGAACACTTTACAATTGGGTTTTCAGAAACACACACACTTCTCATAGTTGTTGACATAAAATTTGACAAAGGAACACTGTGCTTGAAAGTGTATCATGTCTTTTTGTAGTTTGATGGGCAGAATCTAATTCATAAATAGAGAAGAACAGAAAGGGCCATAAGGCAGAAAGAGTATCCCATAGAGACACCACTCAAGATGTGACCTCACCTGCTTCTGGTCCTCTCATTATCATTACAAAGAGGCCTTAGACAAGAGCACCTTTTCTAGTCTATGTTCTAGTTTATGAACTTAGGCAAATGAAGTGAATCTCCAGAACAAAAACTTTCTCCTCTACATTTGAACTTCTGGATGAGCAGGTCTAACCTGGGAATCAGGAACCTTTGTCCTACTTCTCTAAACAACACCCAACCTTAGAAAATGTACTTTCATCTTCTCAAGCACGTTACAGTGCAGGTTGTACCCTCACTCCATAAACACTCACATAGATCCATGACACAGTTCACAGACAAGCAAGGCTCACCTCCCTATTCTACTGCTTTTCCCTCTCATTCTTCTCCACACACCGTATCCCGATTAAGAACCAGTGACTGTCAGAGCATCCCATGGTTTCCATGGTTTCCATCAGACAACAAACCAGCTTGGCTTCTTCATGAGCACTTTGGATTTTCTGAGCCTGGTTTCTTACTTCTCAGGTCTCTCGGAGATACTAAAATATAATGAAATAAACTTACTGTTTTCTTTAACACTTTGAGAGCATAGGGCTTCTGGGTCCCCTTCTGTTTGCATCTGTACACAATGGATGTAGCACCCCTTGAGGGGGAAAAAGACAAAAAGAAAGTGTTATGCTGTGGACATGACTTAAGGAGGACATCTTTCAGTGAACTCTTCAATTGAAGACTTCAAATGAAATCTTGCAGATACGCCCATGGCTATCAAGGGTTCATAAGTCCTAGATGCTGGCCCAAGATGGGAAAACTCTTTTTTGCTTCACAACTGAAATTTCTCAGAAAATTCTAGACTTTTTACTGGCTTTTCTTCCTGTTGCAAGTAGCAAACCCAAGGTCATTGCATTTGATGGGCTGTTAAGAAAATCAAATTCTCAGGAAAATAGCATTTTTCAAGAGTAGCTAGCCATACTGGAAACCCAGGATTCTTAAAAGTATGTGTTTGGAGTGAAATAAAGCAGAGAGCTTCAAGGACAGGGTTTTGAGTTCAGCGTTCACCTTTGTGATTAAGCAGTCTGTACTTCTTCAAGTTGGTAAGGGAGCTAGGGAATTGCCCCCGCCCCCACCCTTCTGTAATCTGTTGAGGAGAGTGAGAAGGTCTTTCCATGTGTGTACTAAGCTAGAGGAGAATTCTCCACAAAGTAGAACAGCAGAGTCTGAGTGTTCCCGTGCCACACTAAAAGCCAGAGAGTAGGAAGATAGACAGGAAGGGAACTTCAGGCCAAGCTGATTTAAGTTTCAACTTTGAGAAAGAACTTTCTGAAAGGCCTGAAAGGAAGATGGGTTTGATTTAGGCCTTTTAGACTCTGAAGACCAAGCATAAGGACTTCTGATGATGCATTCAGCTCATGCTCCTGTAACTCTCCATGACCAAAGGGAATTAGAACAAATATGTCCTGGGTACATGAGTACAACAAACCTTTGACAGACAGAGTCATGTCTGGAGTATCACGGTTATTGTGAGTTAAGAAAAATCTTAAGTGACCATACATTTGTACACCAAGGCACAGGGAGTTCTCAAAGTGAAGTTAGTGAAGGTAAAAATAAAGTTGGTCTTACTATTTGTTAAGTGTTATGGTATTATTTAAAGGTAGACCCTAAAGATATATATTATATACAACCAAGGTCAATGAATAAAATAATTATTTAAAAATAAAAATCAATAAAAAGTTAAATGCAAAACTCAAAATTATATGCAAAGGAGGAAAAGAAATCAAGAGGTCAGCAAAACAGCTATAATGTAGTAGGTTGAAATTCAATAGAAATAAGTATAATAAATTTTAACTTTGTATATCAATTAAAACTTAAACATCATTATATTGGATTATAACATCAGGACAAACTACATACTATGAACAAAAATCCCTTGATGTTTAAAGGCATATATAGGTTAAATAATAAAATTACCAATAGAAGATACATTCAGAACTTCAACAAAAGAAATCAGCTTCAATAATATCAAACAAAGAAAATCTCAGAAAATTGATAGAACACTATTTAACTTTGAAAGGCCAAATTCCCTAAACTAACACGATATTCATAAATGTTCATGCATCTAACCACAGATCTCCAAAATACATGATTCTCATGCATAGAGCCAAAAGGAGTAAGAATATCCATAAATATACCTAGGAACTAAACATGTTCTCAGCAATTGCTAGAAAATGTAGACAAAATTTCACCAAGGATACAGAACACATGAGCGACATTTCCAACTAAATAAAGCTAGTTTGTATTTAGAGAAAACTAAACAAGCAGCAGAATGCAAAATCTATACAGATATAGTTCTGTGTATGTGTGAAGACGTCATCCTTTAATAGAGAAAGTTCAGTAGAGACAGAATCATCCTCTGTCAAAGACAGCTAAAACAAGATACACTTGGGGAACAAAACAATGGAATGGGAGAAAATATTTATAAACATATCAGACAAAAGGTAAATATCAAAAACTCAATATTATGAAAACAAACACGGAGCCTCACACAGTGGAAAAGGACTAGACACTTCTTAAAAAGCAGACCTGCCAATGCTCAGCTGTTGTAGATACCACACAGGTAGTCATCAGAGACAGCAAATCCAAAGCACGTGAGATGTCATGTTCCACCTGTTAAGATGGCTTTTATAAAAAAGATGAATCAAATGAAGTATTTCTCAAGAAGTACAAGATAACTGATGTACACTGTTAGTTGGGATTAAATTAACAAGCCATTGTAAAAAAAAAAAAGACACAACTAGAAACTATCCTTTAAACATTTAAGCATATTACTTTCCTATGACTCAACAGCCCAACACTGAGTATGTTATCAAAAGTAATGACATAAGTGTGCCAGCGAGCTATCTGCTCTCCCACATTCATTGCAGCATCACTAATAGCGATCAAGACATGAAATTCACCCATGACTGAAGCCTAAAGAGACAAATACCACATATTCTTCCTCATAGGCAGATCCTTGTTTCCAACCTTTGCTTTAACTTTAACTTGGAGCATAAATAGAAACCAGAAAATACAATAGGTGCACAAGGCTGGTCCCAGAAGAGACGGGTTATTAAATGACAATCACAGAATGACGTACTAGATATTTCCCTACAAATTACTCATTAGAGTTCTAATATACCACAGGGATCTCCAAAACAACACACCCTGTCGCTTTCTCCCTTGGTTACTGTGATACTTTGAAAGAATGGATCCCAAGGCTATCTAAACACTCAGTTCCTATTTGGTAGAACTTTTGTAAAAGATTAGCTGTGCCCTTGTAGGAGGAGGCAGAACAGCAGAATGAAACTACATTTGAGGACTTCCATCAGTTTTTCTTCCTTTTATGTGACTTAGGAAGAGTTTGCTTGAAGCCTGTAAGACAGCTTAGCTCATAAAGACACTTGCCACAAAGCATGGTCACCTGGGTTCAACGCCAGAGGCCCATGTAATAGAAGGTGAAAACTAACTACCACCAACTTAACTGTCTTCTGACTTCCACGTGCACATAGAGGAACATGTGATCCCCAATACACATGTACACACCCACACATGCACAGACACACATGTCAATTTAGAGTTATAAGTAGTCTTTCATAATTCATCTAATCTAAAATTAATGGAAAAGATAGGACTGTCAGTCACAAAGGAGTAATGAAATGGAATGCAGGGTGACACTCTGTACTTTCAACTTTGACAGTTCCTATAAACCACAGCTTTGTTTCTGGATGTTTTATCAGGGAAGAGTGTTAGCCAGATCTGAGCAGTTAGGAAGCTATTTCCTATAGCAACACATACATGATGAAAATAAAATAAAATAAAAGTTGAATGAAACAAACAAAATCAAAATGCTTTGAAATGTTTAAACATGATTAATATTTTCACATAACAACATCCATTAAGTACCACATTAGGAAAAGATGAGTCTTTGGTCCCATGACAAATACTTCTGCCTTTCAGAAAAGAGTAACACTTTAATATTTTGTGAAGCCCCAAGTCCTTAAGCAAAGACAATGTTCCACAGCCAGAAAACATATTGTCCCAGACACAGGCACTGTCAGGATCTAGAGGTGTCAACTGAAGCTCTACAATACTGTCCAGAAGAAAGCTAATGGCTGACCTATGAACCCCTGCACTGAGGGAGTTTACTTTGTTGCTGACCTGTTTTAACAATGTGCTATCTCATCTCCTCTTTAAAATCGTGGTATGCACCCAAGCTTCTGATCCACTACTTCCATTTGAATAAGACTGCATCTGTAAGCAATCTTTTCAATGCAACTGGTTCTCCCTGCCCCAAGAAAGCAAATGGACAGAATTTCATTTGCAGGAAAAAAGAAAAGCAAAATTTTTAAATTAAAATAAGAAAGCAGTGAAGAGAACACAGGAGTGAGACTGAGATGTGGGAAGCAGACAGGGTGTGTGTCAAAGGAGATGGAAAGAGGATGCTGTACCCTGTGAATCTGCTTGAGGAGCGTGGGAAAATGGAGGACAGGAGAAATTGTCCTGTTTGCAGTAGCAAAAAACACCACACTTGAAATATCTTCAAATATCCTATCTCAAGTGTTTCCCTTATATCCCGAAATTAGCCTAGATGTTCCTCAGTAGCTTCAGAAGAGCAATAAGGGGCGTGTACAATACAGACCACATTGCATAATTAGATGAATATTCAATATACTATCACCATATTATATATGATTTTTCAAAAACCTATTGCAGGGTGGATTAAATCTCTTTGTATTTAATCAAAAGTATAGTGCTGCTTGTGTTTGTAACTTTTCAAACCTTGATGTGTTTGTGTGTGTGTGTGTGTATGATGATAACGCTTGTATTAGATGAAACTTCAGCTCAGAGTAACTTTTCTAACACTTATGGTCAAGAAAACCAGTGTGAAAAGCTAGTCTCTGAAAGAGTACTGGTTTTCATGAATAGCACAGCAGTTAAAAGAGACTCTCACTGGAATGATTTTTGGCCTCCTTAGTCATTTTGTTAAAGAACTGTAAAGGAAGAGACAGGAACAGGGAAGCTTTTTCTGGTTGAATCACATGTGTCTGTATACAAATGTATAATCTCCTCGTTTCTTTTGGATCTCAGAATTACAGTGTAATTCCCTATGGAGGCTATTGTGGAATGAATGTGCAATACTACTAGCATAGAATATGTTTCTATGCTAAAAGTAATTGGTAAAATCAAACCACTGTCTTTTTAAATCTGTATGTTTATGTGTACATTTGTACATATATTCATGTGCATGTACCTGTGTGTGCCTATGTTCACACATGTACATTTGTGTGTATGTGTGTGCATGTGGAGACCAGAGCGTGGGAACAGGTGTTTTCTTCTTTCACAATCTTACTTTATGAGACTGGGGAATCTTTCTGTACTTGGAGCTCATTGATTTAGCTGGACTGGCCCACCGGGCAGGCCCAGGAACCTTCCCGATTCTACCTCCCATGTGCTAGAATCACTGAACTGTCTCCATAACCCATGTGAAAAGCTGAGCCCAGCAGTACAGTTCAGTGCTCCAAGGTATTCCTCCAGCATTAATGGTAAAAGCAACAAATGTAAAACAAAACACTATCCCTTAGCTCAACAATGAATGAAAAAAAAGATGTT